TGTGAATTCCATCTCCATTGAATGACCCTGGTAGTTCGCAAAGCCACATATGGACAGCAATTGCTGATTTGTATGATCATGATTATACTCCCTTGTTGTTGCTTTTGGAATATGCCCAAAGACGGAATATTAACGAGGTGCGAATTCTGGACTGAGCGACGGGTTTAGGTATTGGTTCAACCGAGGCGTTCTACTCTTGCTGTGCTCTTATAAGTTCCACCGTTCTATACATGCCTAATTGAATTTGCCATTTTTAATTTTGAAAACCAATTCTTATGTGTTGCCTAAGTATTCTTTATCATTGGAAAATCCTGCAAATATAATACAATGTCATTCTTGGGTCACCACAGCCCATGGTTCATTGTACCTCACACTGATTGGTTTTATACACCTTATTGCAAAGAAAAGATCATAATGGTGAGAGCACCATCTCAAATGATAGTCCGATAACATTGATATCGGATAATGCAAGTACATATGAACAAAGCTTTGCTGTTCTCCCGCCCAAGTTGTTTGGAGAGTTCGTTATTTAAAGCATTCTTCAATGGGTGCTAGGACAAAATGTAGCCAGACACAATGTCGCCGGACAAAATGTCGCCATGACGAAATGTCGCGGGAAAAATGTATTGGACTAATGTTAACGAGACATACTATCGCTTGATAAAATATTCGCCTTACGTAATTAAAGATGCGCGATAGTACTAACGACCATGTTGGAATCGTGCGTAGAGGTCAATAAACGGATCCAAGTGTGACCCACTAGCATTTTAGAATAACCCTGTCAACGAACATACAGCTAAGATGAAAACCATCTATAGACAATAGGCCATTAAAACTATTTCAGGTAGCCAATACGTTCCCAGGCCTCTTACTTTGGCGAGTCATTTGCAAGAGGAATTTGAATGTATTCTATAAAGCGTTGATGCACATCTTGACACTTCTAGGTGGGGGAGGAACCCCAAGGAAAAGCCATTGGCCATTGAAACCATTTCAGGAAGTCTGTACGTTCCCACGCCTCTTACTTTCAGCGAGTTATTTGGAAGAGTAATGTGAGTGTTTCCTTCAAAGGGTTGATATACATCTTGACATTTCTTGATGAGGGGGAGGGAAGCAACCCAAGGAAAAATATTAATTTTCCTCTTCTTCTGCCCCCCTTACAAGTCCTCCTTACCACTAATCCTTTTGTTTTAAAAAAGCCCGATGAAGGAGACTCCTACTTCCCCCGCTGAGATGCCCGTAAGTTAAAAAGGTCATACAAAATAGATAAGGAAACCAAATAGCAGTGGAGGGAAAAAAAATTTACCGTATAAAAAGCGGGGATTTCCAACTCATAACTCAATTCATCTGCCTACTGCGCCATTCCCTGACGTGATGGAGTTGATTCAAACTCAGAAGAACGGAAGAAGTATCAACAAATTAATGAGGCACTCCGTAGAATGTTGCTGACTTTGCAAATCGGGATATTGTACAATTTTTTTCTTGACGTTGGACGCGTCGTCAACATTAATGTCCTGTGACTGAACTTCATCGGTCATGTGATTCCCCTTTTCTTGGACTTTGTGGATATCTTCATGTGATTTTATATTTTGAATGTGCTTGGTACTCGGCTTTTTCCTGGAGCAAAATTCCTCTGTATACCTATCCCAGTTCAGCCTCCAACCATATAACACCAGAACCATCATTTTCTCAGTGGTGACATTTTTTCTTGGCGACATTTTGTCCGGCGACAATTTGTCTGCTTCAATGTATTCCATTGGCATTGAAATAAAAGCACGAAACAAGAAAGGGTCGCTTTAGAAAGAAAAAAAATAATGATGGCACCCTATGCTAATTTTATGACAGCCACTTCGATTCTTGAGGTGCAAGAACGGTAGCATATGGCACCATTCCATCCCATTCGTATTCTTTTCACACCTGTGTATATACATTTAAATAACTATGTGAAGAGAAAAATACGTTTTGGATGATATGACGTAACCAAACGTTTCATAAAATCTTCACGAAGGCAAGGGAATTTTTTTCAGAATTAATTCAGGTAAGCGTTTGCATTTTTATTTATTTCCTCCCATAGGAGTCCGAGGCAAAGTGCAAGAACTGCCGAAAGTTTGCCCACCTGGCACGCTTACAAAGCTACGAAGGAATAGGAACCTTGGATATTAGGAACTACTTGAAGATCTACATGGGAGCAGACAAGGAGAAACCCTGGAATGAAGCTGCAAGCGAATATCTGGAACAACACTACCCTGAAGCGTACACCAAGGCTTATTCCCTCCCAGAGGGATACATTTTGAACAATAAAAAATTGAATGAGCTGAGAAGAAAAGCAGTTGAAGGTTTAGAAGTCGATATGCCTCCTGATCAGATGTCAGTAGTCATGGTGTTCAATAAGCTTAAAGATGCATTTAAGGACGTGCCTTCTCTCACTCTCGCTGATTATGCATTTACGGACACATTGCTGAAGGGCGTCAACAAGCAACAAAAGAAGAAATTCACCAAGAATATGGGGGTCCCAGAAGAATATCTGGAACCGGGTGACCATGATGTATTTGGAATTGGAATGTCTGATGAGGATGTCATTTTTTCCTGATGAGGATGTCAATTTTTTTTCAAGTCAAGGGCACAACTAAGGCAAACCACAAAACAATCCTGAAATCTCTTCATAAAGCCACCAAACAAGTCTCCAAAGACATACGTATTTTTCAATCCATGTGTGGCAAATTCATAGGGTCTCATGTGAAGTTGGCTGGCTTTGCTGCTTTCCCTATGTTATCGGAGGCAGATATACAGAATGAGATCAAGTGCGAAGAATGTAGGACGCGAATCCTCACCTCAGAAGATTTGGACGCAAGGGAATGCTTCAATGCATTTTTGTTTCGCCACAGAATTGATGTGAATAAGTCTTGGAACCGCGATCGTCAGTCACCTATCATGAAGACTTTCAAGGACATTTTCGACCTCTACATTTGTGCCGCATCAGCGGTGGACCTCCCTCGCAACTTCCAGCAGTTATTCAGGAAAAGTGAAGACCAAATGGAGAAAATGATCATTTTTCTCACGCCCCAACAAAGTGAATTAGTGAAGAGCGACTCGAAGGTGCGTTTCATGTGCGGAGCGCCAGGGACAGGGAAGACATTCGTGATCAAGAAAAAAGCTTCCCTCTTGGCGAAAACTGACTACGTATTGGTGATCAATGTTGCTGGAGGACGCCTATCCACTGAGTTCCAAGAAGAATTCAAAGGTGAAGCAATCTCAGAATATGAAAGTAACTAAGAAATCTCTATTTTGCCTTTTGGGATTAACAGGTATAATAGCAATGAAGCCAGTTTATTGATGATGTATTGAGTGGTAGCATATCCATTATGTTACCATGATCATTGACAAACATAAGGAAACAGTTATATTCCACGGTATATTTCGAAAAAATACATCTGAAGTAACTTTTAAATGTTAGTTGAGAAATTTTTCATTACCAAATTGGTATGGGAAACATAATTTACTCAGCGTTTCCGTCAAGGTGTTATGAGACGCTGATTTCTTCAATTTCCATAGCACCCCATACCATCTCCATAGCATCTTGTGATTAACTTTAAAAAAATCTTAATCGCGAACCCCTTCGTTACCTGAGAACAAGATTGTCTTTAACCATTATTTCCTAATTCATGGGAAAGTATGAAAGTTGTACGAAGCTATAACCGTATAACTATAATTTATCTGATTTCCAATGACGGAAGCTTGGAAATAAAACAAAGAAAAGCTTTTTTCCTTCAATAATAATATTAACGTTAATGTGAGTGCTTCGCCAAAAGATTCCTTTCACGCACGTAGTATAAGCCACATTCATGTCTATCGACAGAACTGTGAAGAATTTGATGCTTTAGTTTATAACGTAAACAAAACACAAATCTTGAGGAAGGCCTTATATCTGAAGGAATGATGGGTCTCAAACGTTTTTCATTACAATGTTTCATGATTCTGTTTAATACGTGTGCAATAGAATATTCACCGTATTAGTTTTTGCCATGTGATTATTCTCTCTTGAAGTAATTGCAACGAATGATTTTTCATTAATGAGTATATTTTTTGTAAGTGATATCAATTGCGGAAGTTTCAAGGCCATCGACTTTGGAAGAACTAACCATAACAATTACAAAACTTCTATGTGAAAAAATATTCCAGCGCTACATCTTTTAGAGGCTTAGACGATCGCGTCAATGCTCCTTTTGCTAGAGGGGAATGGGGATGAAAATAGGCACCCCTGACATTTACCTCATTGAAAATTTAAGTCTATCCACTCAAGTAATCTTCCAAGGAAGTGTAGTTCGATTTTCAAAGTTCTTTCCCATCTTAGAAGGAAAGCTGACAGATTCAATATTCATGGGGTCGTGATTATATGTACCTCATGTTAATGTAATTTTATTTCTCAGGACAAGAGAATATCGGAGGTAATTGATGGGCGACAAGAGAGACTGGAGGAAAACCTAACAACCCTACAGGATTTCTTGAAGAAGAAAGGGGAAGGAAAGCACGTCCTGCTCGATGAAGTTCCCATCACCCTTGGATTCCATGGCATCATCACCCCAGAAGCACTTTCTGAACATTGGCAGTGGATCAAGGACATGGATCGTGTGAATTCCATAGTTGTCTCCTTCAGACCAAATGACCAGTCTTATCAGAGAGACTTTCATCTCGAAAACGTCCGGCCTGGGGGTGACCGCATAATCGTCCTGGAACGAGTGAAGCGGAATACCATGGAAGTCGCGAAATTGTTCCTTGCCATAGGCGATTACACCCGCCGAGTATTTATATCACGTGAGAAGACGCACCACATTGATATAAAACACACAGGGAGTGAATCTCTTCCTGTCATCTGTCCCCTTCCGTCATGTTTCTCGCTTCACGCAGGCAAATGCGAGGATGAAATGACGTGCCGTGCTGTTAGGGCATCATATGCAATTAAATGCATCTCAATTGATTGTTGTAATTCACCCCAAAGGGTGCCAATGTATGTAATAGTTAATACTGAGAATTTAAAGAATGCTCTCGTGAACATTTTCACATGCCTCTATCCCTCCACCCCTCTCCTCTACATGCGCCCAGGTACCCTTCTGGGTGCACTTGTAGAATTCCGTGGGAACTCCCGTAATGATGGTTCCTCGCCAATTGTTCTCGTCACCGAGGACGAGATTAGTGGATGTCATCCAACAAACATTACAGTCGTGGTAGATTTTCCTCAGTCCCAATGGAGAAACTACATTCGACTGCTAGCCTCCAAAGATGATAACAAGATTATCTTGGTTGAAGAAGAAGAACTGCATACTGGGAGGTTTTCTTATGTCAAAGTTGATGGATGGAAGACCAAGAAGTTCGATATCGACGATGATCACATTAAAAGTCTGAAGATGGCACGGAAAGCATACAAATATCATGAGATCGACAATTTGAAAGAGGATGCTTCTGTTCCGCAACCCTTTCCTGATATGAAATTGAAATGCGATGGATTGGAAGGAGTGGAGGAACACATGAGGAACATGCAAGAATCGTGCCTCAGTGGAATATTTGGATATCCAGCCTCGGGAAAGTCCTGGATGCTGAGTATGTTATGGGATCGAGTGAGAAAAGGACAGAATCGGGTCATTCTCTTCCACTGTGGAAGTCGACTGTCTCAGGACGTGTACCAACGTCACTGGGAGGCTCGGGTGAATGAGGATATGTTCGGCTTAGATACAAGCGACATCAATACTCTGCAGGACATCATTGATCGTGCCAAAAGACAGAACAAAGTGGAGATGCAAAAAAAGGAGGAAAAGAACTTTAAGCAAAATAAGAAAAAGGGGAAAATGACGAGCAAGTGGAAAGCGAGGAATATTAAGAAGAACAAGGGAGGAGAAGAGATGGGCACGCTGTTTGTTATCGTCGAGGATTGCCCTTTGCTGAAGGATTTGGAATGGACCATAGAGGAATTAAGAACTACAAAAATGAAACTCATCCTCGCCTTCAAGCCTCATTCAGAAGATTCCATGGGAAGCGAGGTTGGAAGATACATAAGACTCTTGCAAGACACCCCTGACTGCACAGCCATTGTAATTTCATCCCAGCCGACTAACCCAGCCCTCATCAGGCACATCCAACTGAACGAGGCTCGAGCTTCATTGCGTTTGGAGGCGAAGAGTCTTCTCGTTTCTTCGATGCCTGCAACAATTGTCCCTGGCCCACCAGTCCGATATGTCAATTCAAACTGCTCAGGGCAACATCGAGGGTACATTTGTTCCCAGAACGGTGCATGTGAGCCGTATGTGGCTGTTCTATCCTATCGATCAGTTTTTAACGTTGCAGAGGAAAAAGACAAAGGAATGCCTCATATTCTTACATCTGATGAGCGAAAGGGAAAACCATCGCTACATGGCAACACAGACCTTCCCCCTTCTGTCGTCGAACACCCGATGGACTTCCGCGGGTGTGAGGCCTCATTCATCATTGCTTACAACGTCAGTGATGACTGGTTACTGGAAGTTTTCTCCCGCTCGAGGACTCACCTCAGCATCATCGACAGCATTCCCAGCCATCAAGATCTCTGGAAAGCAATGCTAGCAGAGGAACGTGTTGTACCCGTAGATATTCCAGACAGTTTAGAGGATTTACTGAAGTCAAACGACAGGAGAAAATTCCTCTTGGTATGTTACTCTTCCTCCAACATCCTTTTTTTGATACATTTTTCTACAGTATTTTTTTCGATTTAATATTTTTCCTAAATTAGCAAATGCCAAAGCACGTGTGAATTAGTTCAGCTATTACTCGAACCTAACGCCTGGAAATTATCAAAGCGAGGCATAGCATAAGAGGAAATAAAGCTTTATAGTTTTGAAGCTATTATACATTTGCAGGCCGAATTCATGGAGTAGTAGCAACAGCATATTAATTTTTTTCCATATTATTACACTTACCCTCAGCTCTCTCCCACCTCATGAATGCAACAGAGAAGTGGCGTGATGTCATTGTGTATCCTTTTTTTTCCTAGCGTCCGACCTGGGATGAAGCAGCGAGTATCATCGGTAAGCAGGCGATGGAGAAACAGGGATTCTTGGACCATAATACTGGCGCAATCCTCTGTCTCTCTCAGTCATTGTGTATCCTTTTTTTTCCTAGCGTCCGACCTGGGATGAAGCAGCGAGTATCATCGGTAAGCAGGCGATGGAGAAACAGGGATTCTTGGACCATAATACTGGCGCAATCCTCTGTCTCTCTCTGGATACCTGGGAAACCCTCAGCAGCTTGGACTCTTTGCCTTCATCTTCCTCCCCCTTTACCGACTGGGGATACGCGTGGTTTAGTAAGTTGAGAGTTTCAATGTGCACGGTCTTGCTAACCATGTGTAGGGAGAGCCTATTTGCCGATACTAGGAAACCATGACCATTTTAATAATTTTTACATTCTCCCTGATTGCTTCAACTCCATTGCCCTAAGAATAGCAAAAATACATGTTGTTCAGTTATTTCATTACACTCGTTCTCTCTTCTATTGTAATTCAATAAGCGCGGTAGTTCCTCTTGCCTTTCTTCAACCCTTTCCAATAACAAAAGCCAACCTCATTATCCCCTCTGAGAGCATCAACAAAAACCAATTTGGGTAATATTTCTCCCTCTCTCAGCACAAAATCGCTCCAGCAAATTTGAAGCTCATTTCGAGGGGGGTTGGGGAGAGCGCTGAATCTCGCTTTGTGAATATATGAATTTATTACTCTATTTATTCATTTTTTATTGTTGCTGGATATCGTGACGATGCTATGCTAGCTTCGTGACTGCTTCCGCCTTAGTATCAGTCTCTGAATCTTCTAAAAAAAATTTTGTTACTATGTAAAAACACAGCTCAAGTACTCTATTCCGTTCTTATTTTGCCGAAAATCGTCGCTGGCTAGCTATACCACCCTATACCTCTATAGAGTAGGGCTGTAGGTACTTACAACAGGATTGCGCGCACCATGCATTTCATGCCTGAATCTCTGTAAAAGAGGTGTGTAGATCATCTCTACCAAGCTCCTTTAGGTCTATCCGGCTTGCAAGGTGCAAGCGTGACTTTAACAAGCATTTTGAGCTTTGACCGAACATTAGCCAGATTACAATCAAGTCCTCTCTAAAATGGTTTGTGAGAGTATGAATAGGCCTGTGATATGCGAAACGTTACTCGTCCTCAGAGGGATGACTTGAAGACCACAGAATAACTTCTTATAGGTCCTTAACTTCTATAACTATAACGTCTATGCCGTTCTATAACTTATTATAGCTCTTTCACACCGTAATTTGTGAATTGAATAGGCATTGGCGCGTCCTGAAGGCAGTCTGTTTATTTGGCCTTTGTCTAACGTTTGTCAGTCTGTAGAGGATGGAGAAGGAATGGCAGTTGGGGGTTGAAGAATGGGAAATCCTTTGGAAAGTGGGAAAGTGTAGTGAAGTATACATACTACTCATCCTATAACTAGATTCTTAATATTCGATTGTAACGTTGTAAAACGTGAGCAGACGAATACTTTTGAGTGGTTACGCCATCCGCTTATATATAAGCTAGAAATTCGATTTAACAAGTTTCTGGTGTCTTTCTTCAACGAAATAAGGTAATGTGGGCATTTCTTTCTTAGAGATTCCTAATGTGCATCTCTTGGATTCGAAATGGTATAATTTTCCCCTTAGGAGCTCAACTTCCGGGAAAAGCGGAACTATAGAATTTTATACGTTCGTCCCAATAACAGTTAATTATAGGTTATAGCCAATAACGTTTTGGGTTTAAATGGGAAACGCATACTTGAATTTCATTACCGGTTCAGTTACAAAAGATATTCGTAGAGCTTCCCCCATGTGCCCATATGTTCCCACAGCTTCATGATTCCAGGTTCACCAAGAAACTTGAAAGTGGCGACGACTCCTATCATCTAAATTGATCATTGGCTTATTTAGGCGACACCTAACATCCATCACCACAACCTATTTACATATTCTTGATTCTTTTTGTGATATTATTTGTCTACCTGATAATTCTAGTCCAAGATTTCCTTGGGAATGTAACCACAACTCGCACCAAAGTCAAATAAATCAACAATGTATTATAATATACATATTTTAAGTCCAGTCTTTATTTCCTCGTTTTCCTTCCTTTCCTTCTAATTGTATGTAAACGTTCGATTTTGAGGACCTGAGTATGGACATGATATAGCAGAGGAGAAGGTTTAGCACAGGCCTGGAACGCATATGTTTGAAGGAATCACTACGAAAAGCGTTCCAATCGTTGTAGACTTTAATTATGGGGTTGACGGATGTGCAGGATAAGCTGGACTGAAATCGAGAAAGGAAACTTGATGTAAGATTCAGGTCGTGGAATGAACTTTAATTGTTTGATGCCGGATTAATGGAACTAAAGCTACAATAGATGTATCTTCCATTAATAACTGCATGAAGAGGTTAGATGTCTGATGGACGAAGAAGGGATGTAGTAACATTGATGTTGCTGGCCATTAGGCGTAAACGCTCCCTATGTATGTTTCGCTATCTGTCATATTTTGGTCGATTTTGACTAGAATTGTCCAAATGTCTATTCTCCCCTACCAGAATACACGGGAGAAGTTCCAACAATTGATTTTGAGGAGCGTGATAGGATTGTTGAGATCCTACGAGAGCAGGATGTGCAATGGAATAAAGTAAGACATCCCCCCGTGGTCCTGGAGACGTGGAAAAGCACGGGAGGATTATTGGAGTCTCTATCCCTATCTCTTACAGGATCCTTTCTTCACCTTCCCCTCTTGAAGGTACGTTCATTTTCCTCCTTCCTTTTCAGCCTCTATTTCTACGTTGCAATATATACATGGGCCACAATATAAAAATATATGGTTGCCACAATCAAGTTTTTGATTTGCAGTCCTCTACTGGATTCCAAAACATTCATATATGGAATGATGAGACGTTGCACAGGATTTATAACTATTTTCTTGGGAGGGGGTGGGGGTCACCCTCCGGAGTTGCACCTGCAGGAATTTCAGTTGCATGTGTATAGGGTTAATGTTATCCCAATTGCTATCCGGTTGGATGTATTCATTCCTGCATTTACCCTAATGAACTTTCTTAAATTCAAATCCATCGTTCGTTCATCTTAAACTTACACCTGATTCTAAGATCTATGAATTCTGTAGGTCAAGAACTATTAGTTGCCCGATTATGAATTCTATATGTTTGGAACAACGACTATGGCATTTTTGCTCTTCTCCGAAAATGAGTGTCAGGTTGCAAAGGATTCCTCTCGGTGCTATTTATATTCTTAGCGACTGTTGTGGCCTCTCTTGCTAAGAAGACAATACGAATATCATAATTGCATAGTTTACCATGAAACTCTTGATGCACGCACTAAGTAAAAATAAGATTAAGTTGAATTGTGGTGAGGCTAGTTGCTACCTGTTATAGACATAGTGAACAACAGTTTCAAGAAAGAATTCAATGCCACGCTTAAGTGAGAGCTAACGTAACGGATTGTAATAGGGTTAACTTGACGATCATTAATGTGAATATCCATTGCTTGTCAATGTGAGGAATATTAACAGTTCGTAAATGAAGTTCAGGGAGGATATGTGTCATTAAATTAAATTCAAATATGAAGTTGAACGAGAATATGGAACACTCACACCATGATCATGAGCTGGATCGGAAGATATCGCTAGACTTCCTGAAGTGTGGAGCTACCCATAATGCCTGTGCGCGTATCTTGCACTTTTGTCAGTGTCATTAGGTAAAAAGTATGTAGCCCAAGATGTGGTTCGCTTCCCTCTTTGGCAATCGCCGACAACATTACGTGTAATGAACACAGTCTTATTTGAAGGATGTAGATAAATAAGTTCATTTCCAGCCTAGATATGCACCTCATGAGTTAGCCGTATATTCCATGTCACGTCTTCTTATGAGGTAACTTTCAAACAAATGTATATCAAAATCTATTTATAAATATTATTATCAAATTCATTGGGTGAGATCTTGATCTGAGACTTCCAGTGCAATCGAATGAATATATTTCCTCCCCTCCGAGCACACATGGATGGCCCTAATATAGGCCTCATATGGCGTGTGCATCTAAAGTGGGCTATTGAGTGCACCAAAAGCAACGATTGTGAACTATCAATGAAAATTATTTGGAGTGGGACATAAATGTGGATCTCTTCATACAGAACATATTGGGAGACGAGGATGAAGCGGACCCCTTTCCTCAGTTCCAGAGAGGAGCAGTTCTCCTTCAAAGACCCATCATTCTGATTGGGGAGAAAGATTCCTGTGAGTCCTAAACGTACTTTTTTAATGGATTCCGTGCATGGTTCAAGTTCAGTAGAATTGGCGCAATTTAAGTTGGTTTCGTTCTCGTGCTGCTGCTAACGTGAAGCTGGGAAAACCTACCACGCTCAATATTATCGATTCCTTAAATGATCGTAAATGCCGGGATGAGGACCCCCTCCCTAACCTCTCGAGGCATCAATTCTTGGGGATTGATGTACATAGCTGAAAATCCTCTTAGATTTGCTTCATACATTATCTTAACGAACTATCAGAAAAACAAATTCGTCTGTGGAATGAGTCCATGGGACCTAATATTCCTTTGTGGAAGAAGTTGACTCTGAAAATACAATAATATTCGGTTTTCAGTAGAAAAGCAACTGTACAGGTGCTGCAATTTTTTTTTAAAGGTTAACATTGAATTCAAGTAAGGTTGATGTCAAATTTAATTCTGCAGTAAGGGGTTTGCAATCTCGTATAACTGGTGTTGCCTTCTAAAGTGCATGCAGGAATGATAAGGGAACTGATATTTTTACATGGAAAGAACATATTTCGAATGTGTAAGAACACGTTCTTTTCCAGGGACATTCTCTCCTTGGAAATCAGGAAACCCTACAATAAGGAGTACTGAGAGAGGGATTCTGCTCTTTGCCAAACAAGATACCCTACCCATGACCATCCTCCCAATTTTGCCCCAATGGAGTAAGTCGTTCTTTGGTTATTTTTCGACTGAGACCTTTTTAAATGACTGCGAATATGACATGTCCTTGACATGTCGAGTGTAGAGAAATCAAGCTCATGTGAAAGAGCCGAATGGCAGCTTAAAACACATGAAACGTTATTCTCCTACGTGTTTAAGGATGGACTCCTTTCTTATGAGACTGTTGACATCTGATACGTCAGCATTGAAGATTAACCCTTGTGCTGTGGAGACAACACCTGTCTCCGCCATAATAGTTATAATTGCAGTGAGGATACATGGCCAGTCTCCTAGGTTCGGATCCCCTACCTTTTATACCAAAATGACGTATTGATATATATCTATATATTATGTTTAGGAATCTGTATGTCCACAAGCGCCATATGCGCATGCTCGACGTATTATTCACCCTGGCTCCGGTGTTTGTCTAGCTCCCTCGAGCTCGCACTTTATTTCTGGCAGTAGCGGCTGTAGGATCCAGTCTCGAGAATTTGAGAGAAAGTAATTGTACGTCCTGCGCACACCTTTCCCTCCTATTTATGGGATGTTTATACTCCGATGCGGACTTTTTCGCTTGTAACACTTAAAGTCCCCTTTCATCCGGCTAGAGGAAAAATTGCTTATTTGCCGGGATGAGATCTCCGCCCATATATTTATTGGTATCTTGGCCCGTTTATCGATCGGAATCCCGGCCTCGTATTGCTCGGTTCTCTTACATGGGGAGTGACTCCCGAGGGTGAGAGCGGAGGGATTCCATCAGGATGGGCTAGAACATGAGCGGTTACCGAACCTGTCCCTTCTGCGGCAGCCGTCGCATCATAAAACATATCGAAATAAAAAATATCGTATCGGACAAATATATCGAAAGAAAGCGAGTAACCGGATGTAATTTTCATTACCTTTACCTGAAGCGGGACAATTCCCGCAAAGTCGCGATCAATACGGGATGAGTGTGCCGCTCAATTATGGTCCGTTTCGTAGGCGTCAGTATGCCCGTTGGAAAGGAGGGGGGGCGCGCAAGACGTAGAATGTTCGAGCGACTGCTGCATAGAACGTGGCTAGGGCCGCTGACTGAACTCGAGAATACTCGAAATTGCCACACGCTTAGAATAGGCCAACCCTGAGTTTGTGAATGTCTTCCACGGATTCAGGCCTCCGTTTCGCTCTCGTGCTCGCAGTTAAATTATTTCGAACCTGCGCAACTGTCGGATCCGTCCTCGACAGTAGATGAGAACAGTTGCTACGTAGTGTTGTGACTTGAGCACCTACGGGCGGTTACAACCTGCGAATCGGAATCGACCTCTATAGTTTGAACTAATTCAACCCTTGACCTAAGTCCTCTCCAACCCAGGTGTAATTGTTTAGAATGAGTTTTTAAAGTATTGCGAGCAGGTGGAAAAAGTCTACGCTTTTCCAGAACCAACAGTTGAAGAGGACTTTCCGGGTCCTAATCAACTAATAATGTGCCTTTGGGAAATTAAATGTGCGAATCGACCTCACGAAAGGGAGGGAGACAACTTTCACAGAAAATCTGAGGTTCGCTTTCGTCTTGCCATCTTTCGGATGGTCGAGGAGACGAGAGCTGCCGTAGTAATGGAAAGGGAACGCTGACATCGCTTATTGCAATGGCTCCCGCCTGCGGCCCCGAATCCAGGGATTTCAAGAATCCTTGATGAAATACTGGAGCGATTCGTGAGTTCCTTGCCCCTTGCGTTCACATGTGCTGCGCAAAGAAAAGGCAGGGGCGTCAAAAGGTAGGTAGAGAGTTTTTCGTCTTAACGTCTTAACGTCTTACTACACCAGAGAGCAGTGACGGACGTAGTGACAATAAGCCTTTCCCGAGTGCTTGCTGTGTTCCTTTCGGACGAGCGCAACAGTTCTTCGAAGGTTGCATTGTTTTCTCGTATCGCAGTCGCATCGATATATGGCAAACTATTAAAAGTATAATCTCTAGCAGACGGGAACAGCGGTAGTGGTGTAGTAGTAGCACACCTAACATCCCTAACACTACAGCTGGATGTTGCGCTGCACGTACTATGATGCTTTCAAACTACTACTCTATGTAGAATGTGGAAATTTTATTTTCTTTGCTTCGTGGGTACCATGCTCCATTGACGTGCTGAGGTACCTCCTGGAATAGTAGATGAAATTATATTTGACATATGCACTCAATGGTGGATAGCTGTATCGGTTCTTGGATTTTACTGATTTATTTTTCTTTGCCTTTCTTGACACATTGTTCCATTCAAATCATCAGGTGCTAAGGATAATCACTAGCCAACTGATATCTATAGACGTTGTACATATTGCAGTGCTCATATAGTACATGAACACTCTCGAAGACCTTAAACGTGTGTTTAAAGAGAGTTTTTTGACGTCCAATGTACACGGATGAGCACCTTTTTGGCTCTCAGTTTAATCATGGAACGTGCCTCATATGAAGGACGTTCATTCAATATTAAAAATAAATTATTTACCTGAAGCATATCTATC